TGCAGTGCTCTGGTCTGATGAGGAGTGCAGCCTCATCCACCATGTTCTTACTGATCCCCCCACCATGGCCACACCTGTCTCTCTCACCCTCATTCCCACCATATTCTCTTCCACCCCAGGGCCTTTGCCCATGCTAGTCCTCTGCTGAAACTCTTTATCTAGCTGCCTTCTATGTCCAGGCCTTTGGAGTGGTGGCTGAGGAGCCAAGACAGGACGTCCTCATCTGACTGACCCAGAGCCCTGAGGCCCACAGTCATGATCCCCATGGACAGAGGTGGACAGAGGGGTAAGGGGACCTACCTGAAGCCATCACTGAGCCTTCCCAGAAATCCCTTGCTCCTTATACCAAACTGCTGTCTGGGCTTGACCTGGGCCCCCAACAGGAAGTGTCCCCTTGAGGGTTGTGCTCTGGGCTCTTCACTTTCCTCATCTTAATGTATTCCAGTCTTGTAAAGAAACAGTCACCCCCATTAAGCACCTGATCACCCAAAAACAGTGCTGGGGGTGTGTGTGTGGGGGTTGTTCTCAGGAACTGCCAGGCTACCTTAACAGAAAACCACAACTGACTTGGCTTGGTCTGAGCCAGGGGTTTTCAGAAAGACTCGGTGGCCTGCTTCAGGTAGGTCCCCTTACCCCTCTGAGCCTCAGTGTCCACCTCCGTCCATGGGGGTCATGGCTGCAGGCTAGGGGCTCTGGGAGGGTGAGCAGAGGTGGGCCCTAAGAGCAGTAACATAGGTGAAGAGAGCCCAGATAAGGGGCCCCTGGGGTGCGGGAAAGGGTGTGACAGAGCCAGGATTGTTTTCCTGCCGCTGGGCCTTGGACAGCGAGGGTGTTCATGGCTGGGGGCAAAGCCCCAGAAGAACACCCCTTGTGGGGCGCGTAAACCACAGTCCCATAGAGTGACAAGTGGGGGGCGGGGTCTGTTAGAGGCTTCCTTTCAGCCTTCAGGTGGCGCTCTGGAGCCCCACGCACGTGGGGAGCCTCCGGATCTGCGAACCTTGGAGCGGACCCTTGGTCCTACCTGCGGCAGGGGGCGAGGGAAGCATCTGGGCTTTGCACAGTAGGGACGCCCCAGCAGCACGGGAGGGGGTCTTCTCCCCTCCCCTCCCCCCTCCCTACCCCGCCCGGGAGCCTAGGAACCACGGGCTCCAAGCTCCAGTTCCCCCAGCCCGGGCGCTGGCGACTCAGAGGTGCCCTAAGGGACCAGGAGAAGGATGGACTGGCACCCTCCCACTCTCATCCCAGGCCCTCCCCCACCTCCCCGTCCCTCCGCGCGCTAACTCTCCGGGCGCCCTCGCCCGCCGCGGGCGGAGCTCGATCCGCGGCGCTCGAGGATCCCCGGCTCCCGCCCCTTCCCGGTCCCTCCCTCCCCGGAGCCCCCAGCGGCCGCAGCAGCCGCGGTGTAGCCCCGCGCGGCGCAAGCAGGTACGTGCGCCTCGGCAGCGGCTCCCGCGGGCTGGGAAGGGGGCGGGGGCCGGCGAGGGCGAGGCAGGGGCGGTTGGGCCCGCGCCCTCCCGGGCTGCGCCGCAGCCAAGACCCTGGCCGGCGGGCGCCAGCTGCAGGGAGGAGGGAGGGCGCCCGGGAGGACTCATCCTAGGTCGCCCGGCGTCCTTCGCTCCGTGGGGAGGCAGGGGGAGGCCCCGCACAGGTACGCGCGCCGAGATCGAGCAGCGGGGGGTGGCTGGAGGCCGAGGGCCCGAGGCGGGGAGTGGCGGCGAAGGACAGACAGCCTGACCTCGCGGCCCGCCGAAGGACATGAGGCGAGAGGACCAGGGCGCACGCCGGCCCCCGTGGTGCCCGACCTCCCAAGAGCGCCCTGCTACGGGCGCTGCTCGGCCGGGTCTGGCCTGGCCCGGCCCGCGGCGTTTGCGGTCAAGGGCAGGAGCAGGGGGTGTGAACTGCCGGCGGGCCGGCGCGCGGGTGCGGTGGGCGGCCGGGGAGCTGGGGCTTTCTGCGCGGAACTTTGGGTACAGCAGCGTGGACCTGCGTATCTGTGCGCCCGAGGCTTTGTGTACAACTCGTGCTTGTGACTATCGATAGGGTTTGTGAAGCTTCACCCACCTTCGCTGTGCATTGGTCTCTCCGGGTGCCAGTGTGCGCCATGGGTGGGGTGTTGGGCCCAGGCAGGTCGGGGTGGACCTGGCTTGCGTCTCAGCAATCCTAGGGGTACTAGGAGTAGTGTCTCTCTCCTCTCTCTCTCTCTCTCTCTCTCTCTCTCTCTCTCTCTCCTTTCTTTTTCTTCTTTCTCTTTTCCTTCTCTCTCTTCTCCTCTCCCTCCCTCCCCTCTCCAGTTCTTACCCCTCCTGGGTACCAGAGTGGCCCATGGGTCACGCTGAGGGCTTGCAGCATCTGTGGGTGCTGCGTTGAAAACAGCCTCTGGGGGGAGTGGAGTGGAGCAGGGGTGTGCTCCCGTCCCACTGCATATGAAACTGAAGCAACTGGTACCGTGGCTGTGGTTGTGGAGTGTGACCTGTGGGCATGGCATCTGTATCAGTTTTTATCTGCTTTGTTTCAATACTTGATGGGCACCTGAACTGTTAGGAAGCAGACATTCTATGCTGGGTGGGTGGAGGTCATTTTTCTTTACCCTCTCATCCTTAGGAAAAAGTTTGGGGTTCCTGAAGGTCAAAAAAGAGCCCCACTCCAAGGACTTAGGTGCCCCAGATTTCCTCTGGGGTATGGAGGCACCCGTGTGTCAGTCTGGGGAAGGGTGCCTGGGCCAGTCCTGGGCTGACTTCTGCAGAAGGTGCTAAAGGTCTGGTGGGACCTCCACCAGTGTCACCTCCACCAGGCTTAGCTCTTTTTACTGTTGGAGCTAAGAGTAAAAAGCCAGGCAGCATCCTGTCCTCTGTACATTCAGTGGGAAGTGAGAGCACTCTGGGCAGGGGATGGGAACCTAGAGGCATTTCAGACACATCTCTGCCCTCGGGATGTGCACGGTGCTGTTGGATAGTGGAGGGTATGCAGGGAGGGCTGGAGTGCCGCCAGCACACTCTGTGCATCGGTTTACAGGATTGGAGAACACAATAATTCTTACGGAAGCTGCCTTCAGCTCCTGGCCCCCCCATCCCCACGCATACCATGGGATTGTGGCCATGCTTTCTAACATGGAGACAGTCATGCCTGATGATGGTGCTGATGAGGGTTATCTGAGGTACTCCTGAGTGAAGTGCGAGGTACAAAGCCCACCAGGTAGTGGGTGCACAGTGAACATTTATTAAAGGGAGACTCTGGAGAAAGGGGCGGAAATGGGTGGTAAGTAGAAGCAGACCTTGTATGCAGATGAAAGGCCCAATGTGTGCTAAAAGGAGATGCCTGGTGAAAGGGCAGAAAGACTAAACAACTGCCTTCTTGCACTGGGCCTCCTGGAGTTTCATTCATTTCTGCATTTCATTCATTTGCTCAGATTCACAATACACACATGGCCACAGAGCTCCAGAGAATAAATTTGAGAATCAGGTGTGTGTGTGTGTCCACGTCAGAGCATGGAGCCACCCTGCACATGGGGGTCCTGGGCCATGTGGGGACTTGTGTGCCTGGAGCCCCGGGTGTATGTACGCCCAGGACATCAGAGTAGACATGAAATGGTGTGGTTCTGCTTGGGGTCAGGAATGACACGTGCCAGGTGGGGAAGGGGGCTGAGTGGGACCTGTGGGAAGAGACCGAGTCGGCTTAAGGGAGGACCTGGTTGCCCACTCCAGTGGGGTGTGGTGAGGCAGTGGGGGCCCAGGGTGGGCAGATTCTTCCATTTTGCCAGAGGAGCCAGGAATCCACAGCTTAAAATGTAAAATCTTTTGCTTTTTATATATTGGTAACAAATTCACCCAAAATAAATAGACCAGAAGTGAAGCAAACCAAACCTCTGTGAGCCAAATCTGGCCCACGGGCTGTAGGTTGGTATTGTTTGGCTGGAGTGCACATGTGTGGTGGTGTGTCTGCTCCCTCTTTGCAGCTCAGAGACAGCCCCCTTCTCCCCTCTACTCCTGGCTCCCCCTTTTGACCTCCGTCATGTGCCTTCTCTTGCCCTCTCAGCCAGCCCCCTCCATTGACTTCCTCACTGCACCCTGCCCTCCATTCTCACTCTGCTCCCTTTCATAGCATGTCTTGTCTGGCAGCCTTCTGAAACCCGTGCAGATCAGAACTCAGCCCTTCCTGCTCAGCTGCCCATGGCTGCCTGGCTCCTTGGCCTGGCTTTCAGAGCCTTCTATGAGCTGGCCTCAGTTGACCTCTGGGACACTCCTTCCCCTTGCATAATGCCCTTGTCTCACTTCAGGGAATTTCCCACTCTTCCTCTGAGATCTGGCTCATGTAACAGCAACTCCTAGAAGCCTCCCTGCTTCCTCCCCCCGTTCCCATAACACCTCAGTCAACTCCACCATAGCCCCCCTCACATCATCCTCACCTCGGACAATAATGCACATTCATTGAACTGGCCAGGGCCTGGTGTGCACTGTGTTATTAAATCCTCATGGCTACCTCATGCGGGAGGCATTTTGTTTATTCCCATTTTACAGATGAGAACACTGAGTCTGGAGAGATGCTCACATAACTTGCCAAAGACTGAGCAGGGAAGCTGGAATTTGAACCCCATAGCCACTGTCTAAACTCCTTCCTCATATGACAGCCTGTCACTGATACATACAGGGCACTTACTCCACGGAGTCTATTATATAGGTTGTCTCAATCCCCACATCAGTCCTGTGCAGTAGACAGTAGGGGTATTGTTGTCACTTTATAGATGAGGAAGCTGAGGCTCAGAGAGGATAAGTGAATTGCCCAAAGTCACATGCCAGTCAGTGATGGAGTGGATGCTAGCATGGACCACACTGCTCTATCTTTGCCCTTTCCCTAGCTCCCCTTCTGTGTGGTGAGCAACCCGAAGGTGGAACTGTGCCCAGGGAAAAGTGATGTCCAGTCCCAGTAGAGGACTTGCTAGAGGACTTGAGGGAGACCTGCTAAATTCAACTAACCTTCTGTTTTCTTTTCTAGCTGTCGAAGGGCCAAGGGATGAGCTGGGTCCTCCTTCCCAATGGCATCTCCCCCTGGACTGGAACTGAAGACACTGAGTAGTGGTTCCCAGGTCCCAAGGAGAGCAGCTCCTTTGGGCCCAGCAGCCCCTCCCAGGGTGGGCGTGGATAATGCTTGCTTCTTGGAGGAGGAGTATGAGACCCATTTCCAGAACCCCGGGGATGCCAGACTGGGTGGCTCTCCCAGTCCCCCTGGTGGTGTGCCTCAGTCTCAGCGGGACGATCTGTCCCTACGTTCAGAGGAGGGGCCGGGTCTGGAGCCTGTGAGCCGCCCAGTGGATTATGGCTTCGTTTCTGCCCTAGTTTTCCTAGTGAGTGGGATTCTCCTGGTGGTGACAGCGTATGCCATCCCCCGAGAGGCCCGCGTCAACCCGGACACAGTGACAGCAAGGGAGATGGAACGCCTAGAAATGTACTACGCCCGCCTAGGATCCCACCTGGACAAGTGTATCATCGCGGGCCTGGGGCTGCTCACGGTGGGCGGCATGCTCTTGTCGGTGCTGCTCATGGTCTCTCTCTGCAAGGGGGAGCTGTACCGCCGGCGGACCTTCGTCCCTGGCAGGGGCTCCAGGAAGACCTATGGCTCTATTAACCTGCGCATGAGACAACTCACTGGGGATGGGGTCCAGGCCCTGGTGGAGAATGAGGTTGTCCAGGTCTCAGAGACCAGCCACCCACTCCAGGGCTCTTAAGTAGGACACCACCCCATCTGGCTGCTGTAGCTGCAGGGCTTCAAGGGCCCCAAAGGCACACTGAGCTCCCTATAGAGCCCTGTGGAAGGAGTCTGTTGCTGGTGCAGGGACTGGGCCTCACCCAGGCCCCACTCAGACAAGTGCCCATGATCTGTTTTGCAGCTTGAGGTTTTGCATAAGGTTTTGTTTGGAGGATGGCTTCTGCTGCTAAAAATACAAAGTTTGGAAACCGCTGCTCTTGGAAGATGAGGTTTTTTGGCATTTCTGAGGGCTGGGAGCTGTTTAAAAGGTTGTCCATCCCAGTCCTCATGTCTTGGGGAATTCTGGGACCTCCACTAGCCTCACTGGCCAAGTAAGGTTGCTGGGTGATCTTGGAGGAGCACCTTTCAGCCCTGACCATCCAACATAGGAGGTGGCTTCATGATGAGAGGGAAGTCGGTATGCCACTGCCTGAATCTCAGTCCCCTCTGCAGGCCTCAGGGTTGGATTGGATAAGCCCCTTGGGCCAGCTCTGCCTGGGAATGAAAACCGATTCTGGGCACCCCTCAAGGGAGGAGGGTGTCCACCAGGCACTGACCATTCTCACTGTCATATTCTGGCCCAGCCTTGGTGACAAGTGCTGTCAGGAAGCCTGCACCTCTCAGAGCCTTGCTAAAGAGCCCAGTGGCCTAGTTGGGTTGAGTCCAACGTTTGCCACAGCCTGGTTTTGGTCTTGGAGTGTCATTTCCTGCAGTGACCAGTTTTCTGCATTGGCACTTTTACAAGGCCAGGTGCACAATTTTCACCAATTCCATGGGCACCAAGGATCTTTTATACAAGCAAGTGGGAGGTGTGAGGACTTTGTTGTACTTCTGTGGGTGTGAGATAGGCCTTTACCACCTTCCTTCTCAATAATAAGTCCCTTGGGCCTGACCTCATTCTGTTAGCAGAAAAAAACTTTTTTAATGCCAAATTTGTTAACATCTCGCTTCCCCTCTTAGTAGTGAAGCGCAGCCACAATTTATTTGGGGAGAAGTCAGACACATTCATGTGGCCTGGACACTCCAGCCACGGTAATTACCCTTCGTTCTCTTTGTCTTGTGAAATATTTCCAGGTTCCTTCCAAACTCCCTTTAAACTTCTGACAGGGAAGGAGCTACAGGCGTGTGAGGACTGGGGGCTTCATGGGCACATGCCTTCTAGATCACTGGCAGGAAGATTCTGAAGAGGTCAGTCAGTGAGCCCTGCTCCAGGCGGGTCCCACTTACTGCATCTCAGCTGGCCAAGGGGCTGAAGGTCTGGCCTTGGGGGTGGAAGGATGGGGTGGGCATGGGGCCTGCAGGCTGGAGAGGCCTTGATTACCTGTAACATAAGCCTTCAGTCCTGTGGGTTGAGCATCTGGGCAGTGTAATGTTACAGTTTCTGAAACAGATCAGGTGTCTTTTCCTGCTGGCAGGGTTTTTCTTTCTTTCTTTCTTTTCTTTTTTTTTTTTTTGAGTCGGAGGAGACAGATTTGAACTCAGGGCTTCATGCTTGCAAACCAGGTGTTCTACCACATGAGCCACACCTCCAGTCCATTTTTTGCTCTGGTTATTTTGGAGATGGGGTCTCATGAAATATCAGGTTCTGTTGTGGCATTGAGGGCTGGGTTTGCCAGGATGTGAAAGGGTCACAAATCCTGGGCTTCCCCAGGCGTGTCAATTTTCTCCCAGGCTCCAATCAAGGAGTGGCATGAACCATATCAGGTGAACTATGGTGGAATTGGACATCCCAAATGATGGGCTCAGGCTTTGCAAATCATAATGATAATAAAAATATCAACCCAGCCGTATGGATGACTATGACAATGGGAGATTCATTTGGATATTAAACCCGTTGAGAGGCTGTGTCCAGGACCATCCAGTCAAATCAGATGAAATGTAGTGAATTTAAGGGTAAAATCTGTTAGAAGATTAAATCCCAGGAATCTCAGGTCTTCTTCAGGCCAGAAAAGCCTGCTTTGCATTGTGATGTGGAAACTCCTTTAGAAAATGTGTCTAATGGATCGAGGCAGTCATTACCTTGTCAGTGAATTGAGAAAACTTGAGAGATGCCAAAAACATTTGCCCAGGATTACAGCTGAGATCTCCCTGCCCCAGGAACAGAAACAGGATTAGGAAGTCGTTGAGGAAAAGCACAGAGTGCTAAGAACTTTCTTTGTGGGTTTCTCTGGGGCTACCTGTGGCGTCCTCTCAAGAGACCCCATGGGTGCTGGAACATTACTGCTTCACCTCCAGTAACTGCTTCTCCCACCAATAGGCTACCAGGACCCCAAACCTGCCTTTTCTTGATGCAGTTGGTAAAGACCTGGGTTTGCATAGACTCTGCCATTTAGTGGCTGTGTGACCTTGGGCAAGTTATTCTCTCTGAGTTTGGGTTTCTTTGTAGAGTTGAATGAATGAAACATCTGTCTCACAGGACTGGCCCAGATCAGAAAGAAAACAGATGATACTGCATGATAGGAGGGCCAGCCAACAACAGTGCTGTCCTTCCCTGCCTCACTCGATTAGGCCCAAAAGCTGGGGATCAACTCTCCTGTCCTCTCTCGCACTTTATATCCAACCCACCCACAGATCTCGTCAGCTCTACTTGCAGAATCTGATCACCGCTTACCCTTTGACTATTGCTGCCTGGTCAGGTTGCTTTGGAGTGTCCTGGCTTTCTTTTCTGCCTCCCACCCTTACCCCCTGTTCATCTTCCACTTAGCCAGAGGTGGATTGGCAGCAAGACAAGCATAGACCCTTCACTTATCCCTTCCAAGCCCCAGATTGCTTTACAACTTGCAGTTCTGCTTTACTTTTCTTGAGGGTGGATCCTAAATTCTATATACTTCCAGCCCACTTCTCACCTTCTTGGGGGCCTTTTCAAATATCACCTCACTGAAGCCTTTGCTGACCACTATTTAAAGCTACATCCCCAGCCTCAAGAGGACACCCCACAGGTTATGTCCTGCACTTACATATTGTCTTCCTCTCAACTGCCTCCTTCACTGGATTGCAGGCCCATGAGGGCATTCAGGTCTAACAGGTTGAGGCTACCCTGCCAGTGCCAGAAACTGGCTGACACATATAGTAGGTGTTCGTCATTAAAGGAATGAATGAATGGATGGATGTAACAAGTTTCCCTGTGCCTACCAGGGCAGCTGGCCACTGTACAGGGTCCTGGAGCCCCATAGTCCCTTCCTGGCCTCCTGAAGCCCTGACTAGGGGTCAGAATCAGTGACACTGAGGATCCCATGTGGAAGGGACTTGTTGCTGGGCCCTGCAGCTGAAATAGGAATCCATTTGCCTCCCACTCTGGGCCTTGAAACAGCTTTAAGTTGAAGAGTTAGAAGGGTCTCCCTGACAAAGGACACAGCCAGATGCCAGCTAGGTGTGGGAGACATTTGCTTAGTATATAGGAGCCTGGGCCATACACATCCCAGTCCCCAGACCTAGGCCTTTGGAACCTCAGTGCCTGTCATCATCTCACTCACCTTAGGTGCCCTGTGAGCCTCCCAGCTGACAATGCCTATTGTCTGAGCTCCACTGCCATTACTCCCTTTTTCAGGAATAAGCATTGCCTTCCCTAAGAGTCTCTTTAAAACATTCTCTTGCTTGCATGCATGCATGTATTTGCATACACACATGCATAAATTCACACCATTGTGTGCATACACTCGCATGCATCCTGTACACACACACACACAGCTGTTGTCTGACCTTGCTCAGAAGCTAAGGACACACGCCCTGGGAAAGCAGCTCCAAGCCAGGGCATCCTCTGGATGATTGACGACATTTTCTTTCTCCACCAGCTACAGGCTGTACAGTTCCTGGTATGCTACCTCCCAGCAACAGCCTAGCCTCCCCTCCCCAGGCTGGGCTGCTTTCTTCATGTCCTTCCTGCTCCTTCCCGGGGGATGGAGGAAGAAACCTGGGAGTGTTTCCACCTTGGCACTTTGGGCTGGGAACCAGGTGAGCCAGGTTCTGTTGGCTACACCTTCCCTGTGGGCCTTTGGGCAAATAGCTTCACCTCTCCGGTCTTCCAGAGGAAAACTGGAAATCTGGCTCTGTTCCAGGAGCTGGGGGACAGGGGGTGGGTGAAGAACCAGAAGCTGAAGGTTTGACATTGAGTGTGGTACCTTGTATCAAGGGGCAGGAGGAGGTGGGGTGCTATCAGAAGGAAAGTGGGGGTGTCAGTGGTACTGACAAAGGGAGGGAGACAACCTCCCACTGAGCCTGTTGGTTTCTCCCCTAATCCCTCAGAAGGCAGATTCAGCCAGGGAGAAAAACTTGCTGAAATCTTGCGGTTGGAGGGCAGGAACGCCTTGTCAATGGAGGTATGTTGCCATTTGCTGGTCAGACGTTGGCTACGTTCATGGACGGAGCAATGTGAAGTTGGGTGTGATTTAGCCAAGAGGCTCCCCCCAGGTTTCAAGCCCCTCCTTTGAGGCAAGCCAATGCCCCACTGGCCAGAGCCTGACTAAAAACAGGGACGACTTGGTCCTGCTGTATCATCTTGTCCTTGACCCAACACCCTCTTCCTGGACTGCGTTGTCTACAGCAGATGGGCAGCACCAGGACATCTGCATGGTGCAGAGGGTGACAGGATTACTGCGTTCCTCCTCCTAGGGAGCCCAGTGCTGTGAGATCCCCCTCGTGGAACCTCAGAGAGCTGAGTGCTAGAACCCTGCTGAGGGGTCCACTGAGGTCCATCTGACAGAACAGAAGGGCATGCTGGGCAGTTGCTCAGTGTCTCTCAGTGTGTTCCCTCATCTGTGAAGTGGTGATGTGAATCACAGCAACTTTCCCCTAAGGCTGTGGTGAGCAACAATGAGCTGATGCCCGGAAAGCACTTAGCATGGTGCCTGGCTCTTCCTAATTGCTCTGTAAATGCCTGCTACTGTGTCTGCTCATTTGTTGACACCTAATCTGCATTCTGTAGGCACACACAGATCCTGCCCTTGAGTGGCTCCCTCACTGTCTGGGGGGTAGGGCAGTGGT